GCTCATTCAGGGTTGATTGAACAAGGCCTTGCACTTTATGAAAAGATGAGAATTGTGTATGGATTAGAGCCTAGGCTTGAGCATTTTGGTTGCATGGTTGACCTTCTTTGTAGGGCAGGGCTCTTGAGAGAGGCCATGGACTTCATAGGAAGTATGCCTCTGAGGCCTGATGCCATTATTTGGAGATCTTTGCTTAGTGGTAGCAATGCTTGTTTAGATGTTAAGTTGGGGGAGTCAATTATGAAATGCCTTTTGGAGACGGAGACTAATGATTATGGGGATTATGTTTCGATGTCGAATATATATGCGACTTTTGGCATGTGGGGGGACTCGGCAAAGCTTAGGGGTGCAGTGGAAGGCTTGACTACGGCTAGGAAGTTGGCTGGGTGTAGCGTAATCGAGGTGAATGGGGAGGTGCACGAGTTTCTCATCGGTGACCGATCACACCTACAAAAAAATGAGATTTACTCTATGGTGGATGTGCTAACTAGGCAGTTGAAATCTGAGGAGCACTAGTGCTGGGACAAGATTGGCCTGCCTTTATCTTCTTTTTGCCCCAAGCTAAGTGTTATGGGGGTTTACTTCTTGCCTCTCACCAGCCTTGGTTGATTTGAGGCCAACCAGATGGTATTGCTAATTAGCATTTCCAGTTTCTTTTTTTTGGGTGAGGCAATGGGTAGAGGGCCCTACTCTTGGTAGGAATTGAGCCTAGAACGTAACATTGCAAATCGTCAAGGGCTAACCAATTGAGCCAGGGTTAGCATTTCTAGTTATTTACTGCCAAAGCATGATTGAGCCACAGTGGCCTTATCAGATTGCTATTTTAGGCGCTGTTTGGAAGGCCAAACAAATCTATTAGAGGGTTGGAGTTATTTATCAATGAAAAAAAAAACATTTTTTTTTATTTTGCACGATATGCTTTTTGGCAGCTTTTACAAGTCAAGTTTCAGCATTGATTCGTTCCCAAATGAGTGGACAAAACAACCCAATTTACTAAATTTGCTCAGCCAAATGAGGACTTAGTTTTCTAGATTCAAGTGCTTTAGGTTATAGTAACCTATGTGGTCTAATTGTATTCCCTTTTTAATTTCCTCTTTATTCTTTCAACACATATCTATCCTTTAATTATGGCTTAATAATATAGCATGGATAATAGTAACTTGTTTGTTAAAATATCTAGGCGCTCACGTAATCGGGAAATACTAATCTCAACTTGAAGAACATCTAGGTGCATATATAATTGGGAAATAATAGTTTCAACTTAAAAAAGTAAATAGCCTCAAGGCATCGGTGATTAAAGTAGCAGGTGCTATAACATGAAATCTTGAGTTCAATTCTTAATTCGAAGGAGCTTTCAAGCAGTATTTTGGTCGTTTTTCTCTCGATTATGTTGGTCGTGGTTCCAAATATTCCTTCTCTTAAGGGATGCTTCGGATTGCATAGAAAATCGCCTTTATCACCCGAGTCAAAGTTTTAATAAAAAGAAACTCTTAACCTCCTCAATAAGGCTCACAACACAAAAAGAAACATAAAACCTCCAAAATTGGAATCACAACACAAAAAGAAACATAAAACCTCCAAAATTGGAATCACAACACAAAAAGAAACATAAAACCTCCAAAATTGGAATCACAACGCAAAAAGAAACATAAAACCTGCAAATATGAGATGCCACACTCCCTTAAATAGCCATCTCTTAAGGTTAAAAGTCAGGAAACCTCTCCTAAACTTTTGAAATGGCTTCCAATTTGTATCTTATGGCCATTTGGCCCCACCAGTGAGAAAGCCGGGGGGGGGGGGGCGGAGATTGGGAACCATACTTTTTCAAATAAATAGAAAGGAAGAGAAATATTTTATATGAACAAATGGATAAAGGGTCCAACTATAAGTAAGCAATTATATTTCTTTGATTATGCTTTAAGCATAATATGCATTGGAATGAGTGGATTGAACAACCCACAATGTAAGCATGGAGTGAAAATTAAATCCCAAATTTAAAGGAAAAAGTTTATATAAGGTATCAAAGCACACTTGCCAAAAAAGGTTGTTGAGACACTAGAAAACACTATAATTGATCATCTTGAGCTCAAGATATGTAGATATGGAAAAAAAAATATTTCAGAAAATAAAAATAGTATATTTTGTAAGGCATTATTTAAACCGTACATTTTCAAAATTTTCAAGTGTTTATAGATCTACTTGATCTACATCTTTTAGGAATGTTAAATCTCATAATTAAGAGAAAATTTCATGCCACCATAGGACTTTCCAACACTGGAACTGCATCTTTCTAAAACTGAATAAGGTAAAAGAGGCAATATGCTTTTCTTTCTTTTTCTTTTCAAAATTACAGTAGATTGGCATCCTGTGCTTTTAGGAAAGGAGAATCCTTGACCTGACAAAATAGATGGAAGAAATCTTGCCTCATTTTGTTATGTAAGTGTTGATAAGAGGCATGTTATATGCATCAAGCGCCTATAGAGACACTTGGACATATGTTTTGTGAGCCATAGACTCAAGAAACAGAGGCTTGAACGCATTGGTGTTCGGTTTTTACAAACTACAAACACATATCATGAAGACTTTGGTTGTGGGTCTCTTTGTGCTTCTAACAATCGTTGCCATGTCTTCCATGGTGACTTGTGCCACCCCTCGTCTGCCTATCTCTGTTGATCCCCTTCGTTTCCGAGGTTGATACTTTCGGTCTCTCTCCCTCTCTGTTGTTTTTAAATATTGTTTCTAATTGTGGCTCAAGCTCTAGTTTTTTCGGAACTACCAGCATAAATTTATTATAGACATGATGGAGGCTCTCTTTTTCTCTCTCTTTTCTTCTTTTCTCTGTATTGTTTCTGATTGTGTCTGAAGCTCTAGTTTTCTAGGAACTACCAGCCGAAATTTGGTGCTCCAAATTTATAGATCTAGGTAGATATAAATTTAAGATAAATTTATGAAATTAACCGCTAGAGATAAGCAATTTAATGCTTTACCAATATATTTTGATTTAATTTTAAAACACTAATTAAGAAAAACAAATAAACAAAGCATGAAATAGTTAGTTTGTTATGAGTATTTCGATAAATTTCCCTAGATTAAAATGATTTGCAATGTTGTTTCGATATCTGAACCCTTAAAAGCAAGGGGCGGATGCAAAAGAAGCCCACTCACAAACAACAATGATTTTCCTTTTGCACTTTTGTTAAAGGGTGTGGTTTGTATAAGGGCAACGGCATAAATAAACAAATTAAGGCGCACCTTTAAATAGTTTTAAAATATATTGTTTAACTATTAGAAATCTTTATGGTGGCCAAAAATTTTATTTTCATCTGTAATTATAAAAATGAAAGATGCAAAAATAATATAGATTGAATAAATCTATGAACACTTGAAAATCTTGAAAACTGATAGTTTAAAGTAAAGAAAAGTATACAATTTGATATAAGGTGGGCACAATTAATCTTGACCATTAGATGTGAAATTGGGTGGCTACATTTATTGCATTGACTATGATTAAAGTTCAAAAGAAATTTTGTCGTACTTTGTGACACATCCAAGCCATCAAATTTCACATCGGATGGTTATAAATAATTGTGACCTCTCTGTAGCAAAAGTAAAGGACCCTTTAAGTAATATATTACAAGATGTATTGTTTCTAAGACTTGAAATCTATTTTTTCTCATATCCATACATCTTGAGATTGAGATGATTGAATTGATGGCTTGTTA